CCCATTAAATACAGTGGCATAGTAAAATGGTTTCCCCTTATATAAAATGGCAAAATCAAGCCTTCCTTTTTGGAATTTATATTTTAAAAAATATTTGTAAAGCTGCGGATGGCTGAATCCGTGCATAAAGAATCTATGGATAAGGAGGTCTGACTTTAGTCAATCTGTCTCAGGCTGCAGATGCTGGCAGAAAGAGGCAGCAGACTTCCCAGCTGTTCCTCCTCCTCAGCACCCTGACCTTTCCTCTTTCTTGGAGGATAGAATTGTGTGTGCCACATGCTCCCATCTTGTACCCCTTAAGTTACTCTGCTGCCCTCAGGTGTGCTTGCAACTCAAGTCTCTCGTCCATTGGCAGTGTTGAAACAAGGTTCAACTGCTAGTCCAGTCACCTTCTTTACATGAACGGAGTAAGCATTCCTTCCAACATTTTACAGATGAAAATTGAGACACATGTGTCCAAGCAACATCAGTGTCGTCAAGATGGCAAACATTATTGAAGAGGAAGACACAAGTTAGGAGCAGCAGTGACAGTGGTGGTGGTGGTGGTGGTGATGACGGCACTCAGACTCGCAAATCCCACAGGCCATCCTTCTGGCAGCTCACCCACTTCTTGCCTTCTACCCACTTTGGGCTTTGTGCCCCAGTGCGGGTTGTGGACTGGAGGGAAAGGGGGGGGGGAACTCTTCTTTGTCTGCAACTCCCATTTGGAGGGGGAAGAAGATGAGGGTGAAGCCATGGACCTTTCTCTCTGCTCCCCCCTCCCCAGCCTCCCTCTCCTGATCTGTTTGGCTCCTTTCCATCATTGTCCCCTGGGAGGGGGCTGTTTGCTGTGACTTCTTCTTTGTGGACGGAGATTGTTTGTAATTAAATAACTCTTCTTGCTTGTGGGGAGGGGACCCATCTTTGCTGTCTCAGCTGAGTGGGATGGCGGTTGCAGGATCCTGGCTTCCATGGGGTGAGACCTTCCTTCCGATCCATAACCCCATCCTAGGAGGTCCATAAGGAGGGTGACACCATGAGTTACTGCACTGGGTGAAACCAGTCCTAGTGACACCACTGACTACTTTTGTACTTTGAACTCAATTTGCAGCAATTGAAGTGAGCTGAGGCAGTGGGGTCTCCACCCCTGGTGTCACGCAGTGTGTTTGGGGGCTGCTTGGGGGGTGGTGGCAGTGGCCTAAAGGGCACACTCACCCCTCTGCCACAGCAGCACCAACCTCCTTGTGAGGAGACCTTTGCCACCAGGACAAAATAGGGCCAAACTCGTTTGGCATTCCCTTTTGCCACAGGGGCAGTGGCCTCCTCATGAGGAGAACTTTGCTGCTGCAGCAAAGCAAAGCCGGGTGTACTTGGCCTTCTCTGTCCTTTGCTGCAGCAATGGTGGCAGAGGCCTCTTTCTGAGAAGGTGGTGACTGCCGTGGCAAAGCCAGAAGGGGCACACTCATCCCTTCTCACCTCACAGTGGGAGGAGGGCCTGATCAGGTGTCACCCCACTTCTGGGGTGTCACCTAGTGTGGGCCACCCACCCCACACCCCTAGTGATGCCACTGAGCTGAGGACAAAAGGGGAAAGGCGGAGGAGAAGAGAGAGAGAAACTGGGACATTTTAGAAGCGGCTGAAAAAGTGGGACAACAGAGGATTAATCGGGGCTGTCCCTGTCGAATTAGGGTAGTTGGAGGGTAGAGGATCTAGCTTGGCCTCTCTTCCTCTAGTTTGGTGCTCTGAACATCTGCCTGCAGGATATCCGGGTTGGAAACCCTTCCATGCATTACGTTAAAGTCACTAGTGACAGGAGGAAAAAGGCTCGGGATACAGCAGCCATGAAGGAAATAAGGCTTTTGAGAAACAGGCAGTTTTGAGATAATACTTTTTTCTGCTTTCTATTTCTATTTCCATAGGACTATAAAAAGAAGTACAACAGCTGGGTAATACAGCAACAGGATTCTGGCTCCCTTTTGTTTTAGTGAAAATGATACAGTATCATTGGTGGATGTGTTACACAAGCTAAAAAAAACCCCACCCCAACAAGTCCAAGTGCCCCCAAAACAGTCTAATTCTCTACAAAAGAGGAAAAAATCAATGGAGGTCACAAAGAAGAAAGGCCTCCAATCCCCAAAGCAGTCATGACAACAGCTTATTCTCACATTATCCTTTGGAAAATCTCTTTGAAAACAATTGCTTTTCTATGGAGGAATATGTTTATAGACTGTGTTTGTTTATTTTGATGGGACATTGTAAGTAAGCCTAATGCATTTTCAGAGATACACTTGGGAATGTGTTGTCGAAACTGTTACTAATACATTGCCATGTATTTTCCATGCATTTAAAAATGTTTGTGAAGCTAGTTCATGGAAAAAAACCATAGACGTTTCTAGGCACTGGAAAATTCCACATACCTGTGCTAATACTTCCACCCAGCCACAATTCACTGAGGTTTACTTGCTGAAATGTCCGTATTTTTCAATTTAGCATTCTTCCTGCCAGATTTTAACGGAGGCATTCATTTAGTGTGACTTTCAGAAAACTGTTTTCTGAAATAATTTCCAGAAGAGCCAATATGGGGTATGGAAAGTATCGGATTGAAATGTGGAACGTCTCAGTTCTTGGGCCTAAGCAGACTGCCAGAAATAGTGCACATTAAATTGAGG